ACTGTTGCCCCTAGTGGCCGGTTTCCACGTTATCTCCTGACGTCCTCAGATAATGGATAGACGTCAAATACTGACTTGTATCATGGGTGACCTACCTGGAATGACAAGTGTCTCAGTTCAAGAGGGGTGACATCGTCCATAAGGGAAAAAGGCCATTGAGGGGAGCATCCTGCACTCGGATGTAGTCTCTTGAAATGTGCCTCTTGAAAGTGGCACAGATGGGCAGCTAGGGGAAGTGCACTGCTCCTTCTTTTGAAGTTCAAGTGGATGACATCCTAATTGCCGCCTGGTTGTTTCCTGTGTCCGCCAGTGATCCATAGTGACATCAGTCTCTCTCTCTCTCTCTCTCTCTCTCTCTCTCTCTCTCCTCTCTCTCTCTCTCTCTCCTCTCTCTCTCTCTCTCTCTCTCTCTCTCTCTCTCTCTCTCTCACTCACTCACTCACTCACTCACTCACTCACTCACTCACTCACTCACTCACTCACTCACTCACTCACTCACTCACTCACTCACTCACTCACTCACTCACTCACTCACTCACTCACACACACACACACACACACACCAGGCAGGACAACAACATTCAGCAGTAGAAACAACATTCAGCAGTAGATTTGAGGCACCTGAGGGCAGCTGGGTTAAAATGGGTTCACCTTAGAACAAGAAGTTCACCCTCTCAGAGTTGTGGGTAAACGCAATATACCGGATGTTCAATATTTGTGAACCCCCTGACATAACTTCTAAGTGAAACATTTTAGCATTTTCGTTGAAGGATTAGTCAATCTCTCCACCTTCATTTAATAGTGGCATAAAATAGCACTTTTCTAAGACAAAGTTTGAGCCCTTTGGGCAGCTGGGGGCAGCCATGTTTCAAAATGGTCTCTTCATTGGAGCATGTTAAAGCAACCAGCCAGGGCCCGGTTTCCCGATAGCGATGGAATGTAGGCTTACGAGTGTTTCCTACAATGGCCGAAGATGTAACATGCATTTCCCAAAACTCCACGCAGAGAGAAAGTTTGCTAAGTGCGTCGTTGAGGCATGCGCATGTGTCAATACTAATAGGATCGAAAGAAAGGCGGCACTGCTCTCGGGTCAGCTTTCTCCATTAAATGTTACCTTAACATTTGAATTATTCCACAATACCAACGATGGATCGGCGCCTAGAGAGATGTTATGACTGCAAATATTGAGGTGGCTTATTCTAAAGCTTACCCTAATGCACTAAATCAAGATTTGGCTAAATTGGACAGTAGCCAAATAGCTAAATAAAATTCAATTGAATTAACATGAAATTGATTTCAATATCATTGAAATATATAGACTTTTCTGTAGGTATGCTATATATCTTTTAATGCAGTTTTCATTTGAAGCATATTTTTATCCTTCACTTGTTTGTAACAACTGCAAAGACATTGGCAACCTTGTATTTGTAGCCAACTTTGTTGTGATGTTATCGGTTGTCACGGAGAGACGGAAAAACACTGTGATTCTAAGTTTAGCGGAGATCTTCTGTGTATAAAATGATGCTGGACGGTAAAAAATCATCTAACGACGCAAAGATGAACGGAGCTAAGTACAGAGAGATCCTTGATGAAAACCTGCTCCAGAGCACTCAGGACCTCAGACTGGGGTGAATGTTCACTTTCCAACAGGACAATGACCCTAAGCACACAGCCAAGACAACGCAGGAGTGGCTTCGGAACAAGTCTCTGAATGTCCTTGAGTGGCCTAACAAGAGGCCGGACTTGAACCCAATCGAACATCTCTGGAGAGAACTGAAAATAGCTGTGCAGCGACGCTCCCCGTCCAACCTGACAGAGCTTGACATGATCTGCAGAGAGGAATGGGAGAAACTCCCGCAAATACAGGTGAGCCAAGCTTGTAGCGTCATACCCAAGAAGACATGAGGCTGTAATCGCTGCCAAAGGTGCTTCAACAAAGTACTGAGTAAAGAGTCTGAATACTTAGTAAATGTGATATTTCCGTTTTTTATTTTGTATAAATTAGCAAACATTTCTAAATACCTGTTTTTGCTTTGTTATTATGGGTTATTGTGTGTAGTTTGATGAGGGGAAAAAATGATGTAATACATTTTAGAATAAGGCTGTAGCGTAACAAAATGTGGACAAAGTCAAGGGGTCTGAATACTTTCCAAATGTGCTGTATATAGCTAGCTAAAAACTAGGCTAGGTTAAAGATTCCACTAGCAGGTAGCGACATCCACCTAATCATTACCGTCACAATAAACGTAAACGGTAGGCAACAGTCATATAATATAATTGGCTTAACAGCCAATGTGTATTATTTAACATTAATATTAAAATAATACTCACTTATAGGAATGGGTAATTGTTTACAAGTTGCTAGCTATCCCATAAAGCCATAACCGAAAACCACATATTTTCATCTTCTGTGGTTTGGTAACTGCCTGTTCTTCGACAGACTCTGGCTGGACTTAAGACGACGCAAAGTTTGGAAAATGTAAAAGTATGTGGTGTCCGTCTCGCAATGGAGCCTTCAACCGCAAGGGGGCCTTGCGATTCCACCACATTGTGGACATCCCCATTGAAATGCACGACATCCGGCGCAATGTAATGGACTGCTTGTGGGTAATGTGAACAAGGCTTCGATTACGAGCGTTTTCAAGTGCAACGTTAATAACGATGGTTTTGGGAAACAGCTCAGAGATTTAACGATGCTCCTACAAAAGTTCAAAAGATTAACTTAGCCTTAAGGTGTTTTTGGGAAAACCGGGCCCAGGCCAGTGGCCTTGAAAATTTTGCATCTCTGCCAAAGAAGTTGATACTTTAATATTTTTTGTACCATGTTTATAACTGGCTTCCAAACATTATTGTCACCATTCAACATCATCTCACCACATGATGATTTAAAAACAATAACATATTCTATTGACACATTTGGATTAAATTAATTTTTATTCTAGGTCTTATAATTTAATACACATTTACAAAAATACAGCAGTTTCTAAAATATAATAATAATAATAATAATAATAATAATAATAATAATAATAATAATAATAATGATATGGTAACCAAGACAAATTAATTTCAAAATATAATATTGAAATATAGAAACATATTTCTTGTTTCTTCCACTTACATAGCAGGCTTGAAAATATTATTAAGGAGGATACAAAAAACAAATGAATTCCAGATCTTTACTATTCACTTGAGGGTAGTTTTAGTAGAACCAAACTTTTTAAAATCATTTTTACAACATAACACAAACGTCCCTCAAACAAATACTTATGATATGTACAGAGTATGCATAGCCTTATAGTGTCACTAAAATGCATCTGTATAGCATTCTGTGTATTTAATACATACTGTGTAAGCTGCATATATTGAACACTGTATTTTACCGTCATTCTAGCTTGAGTGACCAATGTGTCTGGGCCAATAAAACATTTAAAACATGAACACAAAACATGAGCTCCATCCCTTTGACATCCTTTTGTGCATTGTTCGGATAGAGGAAAGTATAGGTATGTAGAGTGCATTCGGAAAGTATTCAGACCCCTTGACTTTTTCCAAATTTTGTTACATTACAGCCTTATTCTAAAATTGATTACATTGTTTTATTTTCCTCATCAATCTACACACAATACCCCATAATGACAATGCAAAAACAGGTTTAGACTTTTTTGCAAATGTATAAAAAATTCTAAACTGAAATATTACATTTACATAAGTATTCAGACCCTTTACTCAGTACTTTGTTAAAGCACCTTTGGCAGCGATTACAGTTTGGCCGGGCTGCCAGCTCTAGGAAGAGTCTTGGTGTTCCAAAACTTCTTCCATTTAAGAATGATGGAGGCCACTGTGTTCTTGGGGATCTTCAATGGTGCAGACATTTTTTGGTACCCTTCCCCAGACAATTCCTTCAACCTCATGGCTTGGTTTTTGCTCTGTCATGCACTGTCAACTGTGGGACCTTATATAGACAGGTGTGCCTTTCCAAATCATGTCCAATCAATTGAATTTACCACAGGTGGAGTCCAATCAAGTTGTAGAAACATCTCAAGGATGTATGAAAAATGTATGCACTCACTAAAACTGTAAGTCGCTCTGGATAAGAGCGTCTGCTAAATGACTAAAATGTAAATGTAATGATCAATGGAAACAGGATGCACCTGAGCTCAATTTCGAGTCTCATAGCAAAGGGTGTCAATACTTATGTAATTAAGATATTTCAGTTTTTTTATTTTAATAAATGTGCAAAAATGTCTAAAAACCAGTTTTTGCTTTGTCATTATGGGGTATCCTGTATTGGGTATTGTGTGCATTTTTATTTAATTAATTTTAGAATAAGGCTGTAACGTAACAAAATGTGGAAAAAGTCAAGGGATCTGAATATTTTCCGATTGCACTGTATGTACATTTTTAGTGAATGAGGATTCAGGGTCCTGTTCAGTAGGCATAAAACATAAAGAATAGTCCAAAACCGGGAGGTACTATCTGAACGTGTCCAATAAGAAACCCTGGTTTTCATTTTCTGTTGCAAAAACTTTTTCTGTGGTGTGCCCTAATGAAGATGACCCAGGACTCTGTCTATTAAAACAAGTATGATCAGTGCCGCAAAAACAAAACAAACAAATCGCCAGTCAAGCAGCCCTGGTTTTGAGCGTAACAATTAGAATTCCAGTTGTTTGGAGAGAGAGATGGGGGGGGGGGGGGAGAAGCGATGCTGTTCTGTGGAGGATATGGTAGATGTGGAGGATATGGTAGATGTGGAGGATATGGTAGATGTGGAGGATATGGTAGATGTGGAGGATATGGTAGACGTGGAGGATATTGTGGTGGTCTGTCTGCTGCTACCGGAGGACTTGACGGGTGCTGCCAAAAGCAGATAATGTGCCTCTTCAACAACTCTTCACATTCAACTATCGTTCTCTCAGTGTCAAAGCCTGAGGGATACAAGGGACCAACAGACGGACAGACACCTCAACTAATTTGTTCTTTTACAAATATATCTCTGCCTTTTTACTTCCCTTTTTTGTACTTTGAAATTCAGTCCATCCTGTTTTGCCTGGCTTTTTCCCGCTCTGTCTTCTGGGCCTATCTGCAGGCACAGCTCTCCACAGACATGCTGGGGTAGACCTTGAGCACCAGATTACCCCCCTCATCATGGTAGAGAACCCCCAGAGGGCTCATCTTCTCTGGGACACAGCAGGGCTCTGGGACCCCTGGAACTATCCCAACCGCACGGACTATACTCTGGATGGTCGCATGGTTAGAGGGATACAGCACCTAGGAGAGAGATGGAAGGGTGGGTGAAGTAGAGAAAGAGGGAGAGAGAGAGGTTACAACATTTACTGGCAATGCCGATAATAATTCAACTGGAAAAATTCCGTTAAGGTTATTCTGTATTTCAAAAAAGGAAAAGTGGTCTTGATAAAAGCTGTCTATGATTTAGAAGCACAATGGTTCATTCATTTAATAAAGTGCAAGTAGGAAAACATGATACAGTAGTACAATTAAGTACATTTAAGTGTGTCCGCAATGGCCAGTAATGTATCTGCTGATTTATACTATTTCCTAAATGTTGTAGACATAACATCAGACTATGAGCAATGGAGCAGTTCTGAATTGGAAACCATGAAAACATTCTCGGCTGTCGTGCTCACTTTAAAGTAAGTGTGAGGTTATCCTCTCTGCTCTAGCGTAGCTTTGTTTTGTTCTCTAACATTGACCATGTTTATTGGGACTAGGCTTTAGCTCAGAGCGCTAATAAAGACCAGATTTGACCCAGGTTCAGATTTGACACAGGTTTGTCACAGTCTTTACCTTGGCCATGGGGAATCCACAGGTGCCAGCGCAGTAGTAGGCATCAAAGGCTTTGGGCGCCAGGACCCACTCACTCCAGCCGATGTCTGCAAAGTCTACCCTGAGTGTCCTCCTAGAACAGCTCCTAACCTGGGGCTTCGAGCCCCACTGTCTCCTTCTCGCCTTACGCAAGGTCCGCTCATCAAAACTCAGCATTGGAGACTTACTTCCATTCCCTATATCACTCTTTCCATCCCTCCTTCCCTCGCTGTTGTCTTGCGACCGACTACCTCCATCGCTGCTCTTTTTTGGGGTCCTCTCATCCAAGCTCAGGACCGGTGATTGACTCCCTCCATCCCTCTCTCCATCTTTCACTTCTTCCCCCTTCCTCCTCCTCTCCTTCCTCCCAAGCTTGGGCTTGATGTGTTTCAGGGCATGGTAGGCAGTTTCAAACGGGTCCACTTTCATGGATCCGCTAGGCCTGTACTCCACCTCTGGCAGTTCGTTGTTCTGGATGGAGTATGGAAGGGATGGTACCTCCCTTCTCACATGATCCTTTGACCCCGGTTTAGCGTGAAGAAGAGAACTGTGAGGAGACTCTTCCTCCGCCTCAGGGTCATACCTCTGTAAAGTCTGTGCCAAACTGTTGGGCTCATCTAGCTCCTGGTCGTCAGCATACACCAACAAATAAGGTAGGCTGGCCCCAGACAGCGTGTCCTCTGGTTTTCTGTGGTACTGCAGCCCAAAGTCCACCTCCACCGACACAAAATGGCTGCCCTTTTCCCTGGCCTCCTTTATCGACGCGGTCACGTCCTTCATCTGCCACGACCCTCTGCGGTGAGGATGAAAGGTCACGCTGCCTAGCAACGACCCCTGAGACCCTGGATTGATCTCTGACCCAGAGGGGTCAGAGCGAAGCAGGAGGTGGATGGAGGAAGCAGGGTGGAGGCGTAGAGATCGACAGGCCAGGGTTTTGTAGCGTTTGCAGAACCAGGCGCTTGGCCGTGGTCGCCAGTCGAACAGGAAGTGGAACGTGGCAGAGAGGATGATCTCAAAGTCCTGGAGAGATGTCAGGTTCAGATGGTACATCGTCTTCTGGTCAGACGAGTCTACAGGGGGAGAAATCAGTTACTTCAGAGAATGTGTTTAACAGTTACCCAGGAGAGAGCAGGCAGAGGCACAGTGATTCCCTATAGTGGGAAGAAACCTTGAGTGGAACCATACACTGGAAAGGGAACCCATCAGTCTCTGGCTTTTATAGGAGAGTATAAAAAGGGGAAGAGTTAGGAAAATGTGTGTGGGGGGGGGGGGGGGGGGGTGGCGGGGGGAGAGAGAGAGATGAATTGGAGTGACTAAAGAGATACAGTGCCTTGCAAAAGTATTCCTCCCCCTTGGCGATTTTCCTATTTTGTTGCATTACAACCTGTAATTTAAATGGATTTTTATTTGGATTTCATGTAATGGACATACACAAAATAGTCCAAATTGGTGAAGTGAAATGAAGAAAATCACTTTTTTCAGAAAATTCTAAAAAATAAATAACGGAAAAGTGGTGCGTGCATATGTATTCACCCCCTTTGCTATGAAGCCCCTAAATAAGATCTGGTGCAACCAATTACCTTCAGAAGTCACATAATTAGTTAAGTAAAGTCCACCTGTGTGCAATCTAAGTGTCACATGATCTGTCACATGATCTCAGTATATATACACTTGTTCTGAAAGGCCCCAGAGTCTGCAACACCACTAAGCAAGGGGCACCACCAAGCAAGCGGCACCATGAAGACCAAGGAGCTCTCCAAACAGGTCAGGGACAAAGTTGTGGAGAAGTACAGATCAAGGTTGGGTTATAAAAAAATATCAGAAACTTTAAACATCCCACGGAGCACCATTAAATCCATTATTAAAAAATTGAAAGAATATGGCACCACAACAAACCTGCCAAGAGAGGGCCGCCCACCAAAACTCACGGACCAGGCAAGGAAGGCATTAATCAGAGAGGCAACAAAGAGACCAAAGATAACCCTGAAGGTGCTGCAAAGCTCCACAGCGGAGATTGGAGCATCTGTCCATAGGACCACTTTAAGCCGTACACGCCACAGAGCTGGGCTTTACAGAAGAGTGGCCAGAAAAAAGCCATTGCTTAAAGAAAGAAATAAGCAAACACGCTTGGTGTTCGCCAAAAGGCATGTGGGAGACTCCCCAAACATATGGAAGAAGGTACTCTGGTCAGATGAGACTAAAATTGAGCTTTTTGGCAATCAAGGAAAACGCAATACTGGCGCAAACCCAACACCTCTCATCACCCCGAGAACACCATCCCCACAGTGAAGCATGGTGGTGGCAGCATCATGCTGTGGGGATGTTTTTCATCGGCAGGGACTGGGAAACTGGTCAGAATTGAAGGAATGATGGATGGCGCTAAATACAGGGAAATTATTGAGGGAAACCTGTTTCAGTCTTCCAGAGATTTGAGACTGGGACGGAGGTTCACCTTCCAGCAGGACAATGACCCTAAGCATACTGCTAAAGCAACACTCAAGTGGTTTAAGGGGAAACATTTAAATGTATTGGAATGGCCTAGTCAAAGCCAAGACCTCAATCCAATTGAGAATCTGTGGTATGATTTAAAGATTGCTGTACACCAGCGGAACCCATCCAACTTGAAGGAGCTGGAGCAGTTTTGCCTTGAAGAATGGGCAAAAATCCCAGTGGCTAGATATGCCAAGCTTATAGAGACATATCCCAAGAGACTTGCAGCTGTAATTTCTTCAAAAGGTGGCTCTACAAAGTATTGATTTTTTTGGGGGGTGAATAGTTATGCACGCTCAAGTGTTCCGTTTTTTTGTCTTATTTCTTGTTTGTTTCTTCAAAGTGGTAGGCATGTTGTGTAAATCAAATGATACAACCCCCCACAAAATCAATTTTAATTCCAGGTTGTAAGGCAACAAAATAGGAAAAATGCCAAAGGGGGTGAATACTTTCGCAAGCCATTGTATACACATTTTCGTTGTCAAAACTCCCTTAACATCTCTCCATAGAGTACATGGCTTCTGCAGGAAAAACACAACATGTGTTATGATATGCTATCTTAGAACAGAATTTCGAGTGAATGTCGGTCTGTTTTGTTCTATAAACAGGACAATGAAGCATAGCCTTCATACTCCAGCCCAGGATACAGTGGCCTCTTTAGGGAAATAGAGCGTTCTTGATATGGCACGTTATTGGTGTCCCCGTCTCCTAGTTACCTCATAGTTTTCACAGCCGGCAGCAGCTGCGCTTGACTTGGGGGCGAATCCTACACACATTCTTGCGCATTTTGTGCTTCAGCGGCAGCAGGGCTATACTGCAGCTGACGCCACACAGACAGATCTGCCCCTGAGTGCTGTCCTAAAAAGCAGTCATTGGCAGACGGTTCCAAAACAATCCTACCTATTTGGGCAGCCTGGTCTCATAGACTAGACATATCATATTAAATGTAAATCCGGACACACAAATTAGTATGATATGTTATGGTTAGTATGGTTATATAAGACAGATGGTTACTCAAGGCAAAGGTTGACCTTAACCCCTAACCCCTAGCCTAGCTAACATTAGCCAGTTAGCTAACGTTAGACACATAGCCACCTAGCTAGAATTCGCAACATATCATACATTTTAAAAATTTCGTAACATATTGTATGTTAGGCAAATTCGTAACATACAATACCATTTGTAATTGGTAACATATCATATGAAATGGGTGATGGACATTCACAAATGAATACATAGGGTACTAGGGGGTAAATAGCCTCATTGGGTAACTGGCCCCGCCCTGTAATTCACATTACAGGGGGGGCAGTTACCCAGGTACTTTTAAAAAACGCCCCTTTTCTAAAAACAACATTTCATTAAATAACTAAAAAAGTGTAAACTGTAGCCATTTATTTCCCTTTATAGTTTATTTACCTAAGCATGACCTTCATCCACATACACATTTTTCCCAAACATTGCTTTTTTGTGTCAGCAATTAGACATTGTTCTTAGGGGGGTCTAGTTACCCCCTAGTACCCTACCATATGAAAGGTAACATATCACACTAAATTAGAATAATACGGGAGGGAGGTGGGCGGCAGTAGCCTACATTAGCCTACATTGATGTTATTGAAAAACATAACAGAACATGGGGTTCTTATATAATAATAACCATCACCATAACTTGGTAAACGAAAAAGACACAGCCAATCCAAGTTGCGTTTCTCCCCGTGCCAATCTCATCAGCACCGAGGAAAGTTCCTTACTCTCTCTAAGAACAGACATACCGTATGTCCGCAACTCTCATTTGTGAGTCTCAAGAAATGAGGAACCGTATCAGCGTTGAGGATAACACTAATTTATCTACATACATTTTTCTGTCCAGCATCTGAACAATTAAGTTGGATGTGCGATGATGTTATGTCCAGCATCTGAACAATTAAGTTGGATTTGCGAATTTCCCTTTTTTCAATGTTCATCATAGACAGCTATAGTCCTTCCACATCCACACTCACCTTGGCTGGCTCTGAAACTCCTGACAGTGTTTCCCTCTACGAGTTGGTTCAGTTCTCGGTTGTATTTCTCATACAGCCTGTGCATGTGCTGTGAGACCACGTCGTGATCTGCGCTGTCCCGGTCAAACTCCGTACCATCTCTGACCTGTCCCTGCACGCTCCTTGGGTTTCGGCTTGCGGTCCGACCCTCCAAAGCTCCAAGACAACTACCCAGCAATAGAAAAAACATGTGAGCTGAAAACTCGAACCAGACTGCCATTTCAGAATCATACGCAAGATCCAAGGGAGAAAACGTGCATCCGAGGAACGACTTGGTATTAAGGTGACTGGAATCCAAGGTTATGTGCCCAGAGAGTTTTCCACCTCGCGTCCGCTTTCACTGCTCTTTCTTGGGTAGCACTGTCACTCATGCACAGCAGACCGTGTGGATGTTGGAAGATAGTTTAGCCTACTCTCTGTAGAGTTTTGCCACTTTTACACTTGTTTTTCCTTTACAGCCAGAGGTGAGAGGGGTAACGAGATAACTCACTCACTACAGTTCCAGTTCGCAATGCCCGAAAGAACTCACTCACTACAGTTCCAGTTCATAATGCCCCAAGTCTCCCTCTCTCTCTAGTTCATAATACCCCAAGTCTCTCTCTCTCTCTCTCTCTCTCTCTCTCTATCTCTCTCTCTCTCTCTCTCTCACACACACACCCTCTCTCTCTTTCACACACACCCTCACACACACACAGCCTGCAAATTGGTCCATTTGAAAACAAACATTTAAATCTAAAAAATTTAACAATCCAAATACAGGTAACTGCCAAAATGATAGAAACAATTGAGTAAATGAGGGATATGAAGATGTCATCAAAGCAAATGGTGGCTATTTGAAGACTCTCAAATATAAAATATATTTTGATTTGTTTAACACTTTTCTGGTTACTAGATGATTCCATATGTGTTATTTCATATTTTTGTTGTCTTCACTATTATTATACAATAAGAAAAATCCTTGAATGAGTAGGTGTGTCCTAACTTTTGACTGGTAGTGTATACAGTACCAGTCAAAAGTTTGGACACACCTACTCATTCCAGGGTTTTCTTTATTTTTACTATTTTCTACATTGTATAATAATAGTGAAGACTTTAAAACTATGAAATAACACTTATGGAATCATGTAGTAACCAAAAAAGTGTTAAATAAATAAAAATATATTTTATATTTGAGATTCTTCAAATAGCCACCCTTTGCCTTGATGACAGCTTGGCACATTCTTGGCATTCTCTCAACCAGCTTCACCTAGAATGATTTTCCAACAATCTTGTTCCCACATATACTGAGCACTTGTTGGCTATTTTTTCTTCACTCTGCGGTCTGACTCATCCCAAACCATCTCAATAGGGTTGAGGTCGGGGGATTGTGGAGACGAGGTCATCTGATGCAGCACTCCATTACTCTCCTTCTTGGTAAAATAGCCTTTACACAGCCTGGAGCTGTGTTGGGTCATTGTCCTGTTGAAAAACAAATGATAGTCCCACTAAGCCCAAACCAGATGGGATGGTGTATCGCTGCAGAATGCTGTGGTAGCCATGCTGGTTAAGTGTGCCTTGAATTCTAAATAAATCACAGACAATGTCACCAGCAAAGCACACCCCACACCATCACACCTCCTCCTCCATGCTTTACGGTGGGAAATACAAATGCAGAGATCATCCGTTCACCCACACCGCATCTCACAAAGACACGGCGGTTGGAACCAAAAATCTCAAATTTGAACTCCAGACCAAAGGACAAATTTACACCAGTCTAATGTCCATTGCTCATGTTTCTAGGCCCAAGCAGGTCTCTTCTTCTTATTGGTGTCCTTTAGTAGTGGTTTCTTTGCAGCAATTCGACCATGAAGGCCTGATTCACACAGTCTCCTCCGAACAGTTGATGTTGAGAAGTGTCTGTTACTTGAACTCTGTGAAGCATTTATTATATTTATTACACATTCTTGGCATTCTCTCAACCAGCTTCACCTAGAATGATCATTATTATATTATTATTATTATTTATTTATTTGGGCTGCAATTTTTGAGGCTGGTAACTCTAATGAACTTATCCTCTGCAGCAGAAGACTCTGGGTCTTCCATTCCTGTGGCAGTCCTCATGAGAGCCAGTTTCATCATAGCGCTTGATGGTTTATGCGACTGCACTTGAAGAAACTTTCAAAGTTCTTGAAATGTTCCGTATTGACTGACCTTCATGTCATAAAGTAATGATGGACTGTCGTTTCTCTTTGCTTATTTGAGCTGTTCTTGCCGTAATATGGACTTGGTCTTTTACCAAATAGGGCTATCTTCTGTATACCCCACCCCTTCCTTGTCACAACACAACTGATTGGCTCAAATGCATTAAGAAGGAAATACATTCCACAAATTGACTTTTAAGAAGTCACACCTGTTAATTGAAATCCATTCCAGGTGACTACCTCATGAAGCTGGTTGAGAGAATTCGAGGAGTGTGCAAAGCTGTCATCAAGGCAAAGGGTGGCTATTTGAAGACTCTCAAATATAAAATATATTTTGATTTGTTTAACACTTTTCTGGTTACTAGATGATTCCATATGTGTTATTTCATATTTTTGTTGTCTTCACTATTATTATACAATGTAAAAAATAGTAAAAATAAAGAAAAATCCTTGAATGAGTAGGTGTGTCCTAACTTTTGACTGGTAGTGTATACAGTACCAGTCAAAAGTTTGGACACACCTACTCATTCCAGGGTTTTCTTTATTTTTACTATTTTCTACATTGTATAATAATAGTGAAGACTTTAAAACTATGAAATAACACTTATGGAATCATGTAGTAACCAAAAAAGTGTTAAATAAATAAAAATATATTTTATATTTGAGATTCTTCAAATAGCCACCCTTTGCCTTGATGACAGCTTGGCACATTCTTGGCATTCTCTCAACCAGCTTCACCTAGAATGATTTTCCAACAATCTTGTTCCCACATATACTGAGCACTTGTTGGCTATTTTTTCTTCACTCTGCGGTCTGACTCATCCCAAACCATCTCAATAGGGTTGAGGTCGGGGGATTGTGGAGACGAGGTCATCTGATGCAGCACTCCATTACTCTCCTTCTTGGTAAAATAGCCTTTACACAGCCTGGAGCTGTGTTGGGTCATTGTCCTGTTGAAAAACAAATGATAGTCCCACTAAGCCCAAACCAGATGGGATGGTGTATCGCTGCAGAATGCTGTGGTAGCCATGCTGGTTAAGTGTGCCTTGAATTCTAAATAAATCACAGACAATGTCACCAGCAAAGCACACCCCACACCATCACACCTCCTCCTCCATGCTTTACGGTGGGAAATACAAATGCAGAGATCATCCGTTCACCCACACCGCATCTCACAAAGACACGGCGGTTGGAACCAAAAATCTCAAATTTGAACTCCAGACCAAAGGACAAATTTACACCAGTCTAATGTCCATTGCTCATGTTTCTAGGCCCAAGCAGGTCTCTTCTTCTTATTGGTGTCCTTTAGTAGTGGTTTCTTTGCAGCAATTCGACCATGAAGGCCTGATTCACACAGTCTCCTCCGAACAGTTGATGTTGAGAAGTGTCTGTTACTTGAACTCTGTGAAGCATTTATTATATTTATTACACATTCTTGGCATTCTCTCAACCAGCTTCACCTAGAATGATCATTATTATATTATTATTATTATTTATTTATTTGGGCTGCAATTTTTGAGGCTGGTAACTCTAATGAACTTATCCTCTGCAGCAGAAGACTCTGGGTCTTCCATTCCTGTGGCAGTCCTCATGAGAGCCAGTTTCATCATAGCGCTTGATGGTTTATGCGACTGCACTTGAAGAAACTTTCAAAGTTCTTGAAATGTTCCGTATTGACTGACCTTCATGTCATAAAGTAATGATGGACTGTCGTTTCTCTTTGCTTATTTGAGCTGTTCTTGCCGTAATATGGACTTGGTCTTTTACCAAATAGGGCTATCTTCTGTATACCCCACCCCTTCCTTGTCACAACACAACTGATTGGCTCAAATGCATTAAGAAGGAAATACATTCCACAAATTGACTTTTAAGAAGTCACACCTGTTAATTGAAATCCATTCCAGGTGACTACCTCATGAAGCTGGTTGAGAGAATTCGAGGAGTGTGCAAAGCTGTCATCAAGGCAAAGGGTGGCTATTTGAAGACTCTCAAATATAAAATATATTTTGATTTGTTTAACACTTTTCTGGTTACTAGATGATTCCATATGTGTTATTTCATATTTTTGTTGTCTTCACTATTATTATACAATGTAAAAAATAGTAAAAATAAAGAAAAATCCTTGAATGAGTAGGTGTGTCCTAACTTTTGACTGGTAGTGTATACAGTACCAGTCAAAAGTTTGGACACACCTACTCATTCCAGGGTTTTCTTTATTTTTACTATTTTCTACATTGTATAATAATAGTGAAGACTTTAAAACTATGAAATAACACTTATGGAATCATGTAGTAACCAAAAAAGTGTTAAATAAATAAAAATATATTTTATATTTGAGATTCTTCAAATAGCCACCCTTTGCCTTGATGACAGCTTGGCACATTCTTGGCATTCTCTCAACCAGCTTCACCTAGAATGATTTTCCAACAATCTTGTTCCCACATATACTGAGCACTTGTTGGCTATTTTTTCTTCACTCTGCGGTCTGACTCATCCCAAACCATCTCAATAGGGTTGAGGTCGGGGGATTGTGGAGACGAGGTCATCTGATGCAGCACTCCATTACTCTCCTTCTTGGTAAAATAGCCTTTACACAGCCTGGAGCTGTGTTGGGTCATTGTCCTGTTGAAAAACAAATGATAGTCCCACTAAGCCCAAACCAGATGGGATGGTGTATCGCTGCAGAATGCTGTGGTAGCCATGCTGGTTAAGTGTGCCTTGAATTCTAAATAAATCACAGACAATGTCACCAGCAAAGCACACCCCACACCATCACACCTCCTCCTCCATGCTTTACGGTGGGAAATACAAATGCAGAGATCATCCGTTCACCCACACCGCATCTCACAAAGACACGGCGGTTGGAACCAAAAATCTCAATTTGAACTCCAGACCAAAGGACAAATTTACACCAGTCTAATGTCCATTGCTCATGTTTCTAGGCCCAAGCAGGTCTCTTCTTCTTATTGGTGTCCTTTAGTAGTGGTTTCTTTGCAGCAATTCGACCATGAAGGCCTGATTCACACAGTCTCCTCCGAAC